ATGTTGGCAGGTTTAATTTAAAAGCAGGATAGAATTTCCCACTGTGAACCGAGCGCCAGTACTTGTATATAGAACTTGTAAAATGATGTCCTACACATCTGAATAACTTTAAAACCAACACAAATATTTGTAGCAAAAGATATTTTTAAAACTGTATAACTTTGACAAAGGACACCTCTGTGTCCACATGTAGTATGTTAGTAGGACTAGTAGTGGGGAATCTGTAAGTCTTTAATGGGAAGAGAAAACAAAATTTTCTTTAGAAAATGAGTTTAACATTGCAGGAAATTAAAACCAAGGATATGGCTTATGGGTACTCTTAGCCAGTCTAGCTGATAACTGATGCCAGATATGAAGGAAGGACCTGCTTCCTGGTTCCCATGTTTCATGGCATGCTTCCAGCCTATCTAACCATTATTTATGCTTGTCTGAACCTGGCTGAAGGTTAGAAGTAGAAGAGAGAAGGAAGCTATTGATTAAGTTTCCATCAGTTTAGGGATACAATTTCAAACAATCCTGTTCTTTTTGGCATCTTTCAGATTTTTTTCTTCTTTAATGCTGTGACAATTGAAAATAGAACAGTGTAGGTGATTATCACTAAGCTGTTTCTATGTTTTGAAATGCATAGAAAAAGAATATTTTACTCTTGTGTGCTTTCTTTTTTACAAAACAGATGCATTTTGAAAAGCCCTGAACTTCTAACTTGTTATTATCTCTTATCAAATATTTTTGAATTTAAAGGTAGGCGACAGTTTTGTTGTTATTAAAATGTAAACTTTGGAGATTTCCTTTCATGTGTAATATAGTAGAGCAGACATCTTTTGAGAGGTTCTTTTGTGGGGGTTGTTTGTTTATTTTTTTCTATTTTCATTGTGGCAAAAGAATAGATCTGTTGAGAAAGTTTGTCCTGTACTTCTCCTTGCATGAGAAACCCTGAAGCTTCTTCTTGTTCTTTTTGATCTTGGTGCAGTTGCTGGATTTTTGTTGGCTTTGTTCTAAAGCTGTGTACATGTAGGGGTTGTTGAATAAACATTAGACTTGTCAATATAACTAAGGTCTTCTGTAAACCTTGCTCTTTTGAGCAGACTTCGTTCCAAGTTTATGAAATAAACTCTGTGAGTTAGAATCAAATTTTTCTCTGTTCCACAGATGAATGCTTTGACTGAGCTTTTTACATAATTTCTTGTGCTTTTACTTCATCATTGATACAATTGGAGAACTACAAAGCTTTTCAATATCTAGAAGTTTATAACACATACGTTTATTGAGAGAGGCTGTCTTACCCATTGCCTCAGGAAGACTAGTAAAATAGCAATATCCTTTAAAGCATCGCTTATTTACATGTTGAGGTGAATATTTCCCCTCAATAAATTTTGCTTTCTTGATGTTACAAAACTCCTCATGTGTGTTCTTTACAAGCTCTTGTTAAATTCTGTTAATACAACTGCTTTCTCGATTTTAGAAGTGCTGGAATAAAATAACGAAATGAAATACTAAGGATTAAATAGACTGTTGGAGGTTTTCAAGCCCTGAGTAGACAAAGCCAAACCTACATGGTCTGATTTCAGTTTTGACCTTCTTTTGAGTAGTCAGTTGGACAAAATGACCTCTTGCAATCCCTTTCAGTTTGGATTACTCTATAATGCTGTGACATTAACACATAAGAATTGAAACAGTTTCAGGATATTGTCAGTCTCTAATGCAGCTTAGGAAACTTCTTTTTAAGAGCAGCAGATTTGGTAAAAACCATTGTCTTTCTCCAGAAAATTTCCTTTACCGCTTCAGAATACAAAGTGTAACTTGATTTTGGAATAAGACATGCAACATTCACATATGTGGATCCATATGTATGCAATATATAAATCTTCTGGTTTTTGCCAAATACAGCCTATACATGGGAATAATCACTAATCTTACTGAAAATGCTGTAACCTTTCTGGCAATGTACTTTGTAAGGTTTTCTTGAAATCTTTTATTTCTGTCAAGACAAAAGCTCCTATTTTGTGTTTGCACTCATATTTTTGACTGTTGTTCATAAGACAAAAAATCATCTTTTTAAATTTACTGACAATTTGAAGATAGAAGAGCTGCCAGGTTTTATGCAGGTCCGTGTGATAATTTTATGTAAATTGCTTGATGGGTTTACACAGTTGCCAGTAACTATCATAAAATCATTTCCACTGAATTAAAGAAAAAATATGGTTGAGTTTCTGTTGGTGGAAATGTATTAGCATGGCAAGTTTAGAAAATCAAAAGTCTCATTATCTATAGACAGCAGCTGGACAAACTTCCTACAGACTCTTTGTTCACAGCATGGGACAGCCTTGGGGAAGAGAGGCAAAGGGCTACTTCTGCAGTTAATGCAACTTGTTGATACTCTACCAAATTTTCCAGTTAGTGCAGAATGGGTATTGACTTTATGATGCTGTTCTCACAACATACGCCATCAAGTATCCTTCAGTTTGGAGTTTTAATCTAAATCAGTAGAGTGAAATTTTAGCTAGTGGCTTTGTAGTTTGGAAAATCCTGTCTGTAATGAACAACACACTCAAATATGCACTTTCTGAAATAAATAAATACTTGGCAGGCTTTTCCTAGAACAAAGTCTTGCTAAGCTACAGTGCATGGTTATTAGGTTTAATTTATCTACAAGTCAACAGTTTTCAAACTAGATCTCTGAAAGCTGCAGTATGAAATTTGAGCAGAGTGTATTAGATTGGCTCATTTTGCCCCTGTAAGGCTCTCATTCGAAGGACCACGCACCAGTCATATACTAGCAGGTCATAGAGATACTTCTGAGAGGGCAGTGAAGAGTAAGCATCAGGATTTATGGATTCTTTTCTAGGTCTTTGAAAGAGAAGGTGGTCTGCCATTTAGATCAGTAGTTACAAACAAAATAACCAAGCTGTTTGCCTGTGAGGCTTTTTCTTTTTCCCCGTCTCAGTGAATCTAAGGGAGAGATTTAGCTCCTAATAGAAGTTCTCATTTCAATTCAGTGAGGCATAAGATTTGTACAGAATATGGCTTTAGCTTGTGGAAATGTTAATAGTGATTTGTGAGAAAGATGCAGGACACTTTGTAGCCCTGCTGCTTGATCATGTTAAAACTTTAAAAAGTACAAAGAATATTTTAGGAGGTGGGGTTTGGTCCAGCTGAATAGCAAATTCTGCTTGCATTTGCCATAGTTCTGAATATAATCTGTTTTTCTTTAGTATACTGTGCAGTTCATTATAGAGAGTCTGTTAAATTTCGACCACAATAAACCAGATGATGCATTCCTTTATCAAGTAATTACTTTAAAAATGCAGGATATATATATCTAGATAGATTATATATAGGGGTTTTAATTAGTTAAATGTATAAAATAAGAAAATTTTTGAAGATTTTTATGCTATATATAACTATAATGAGGTATTAGCCTATCAATCATAGTTATACATAAAGTAAGTTGTCAGGGGATTCTGCTGTACCTTTTTGGATTTAAATGTAAATAAAGCACATTTAATGAGCGCTGTTGTTAAAAAAGGAATTATTTTTGAGATTATGTTGTATCTGTAATGTACTAAGATAATTCATAGTGTAATCCCATTGCTCTTGTTTGGTTATACTACCAATAACTTTGAACCATGAAATTAAAAGCAAGTATGTCTTTCCAAGAGCAATTTAAGTCATTAAAGAATGAGTGTCTTTAACATTAAAGAGTAACAGTCTTTAACATTTCCACTTGTGTCTGCCCAGAGGAACCAGTAAGAAGTCAGTATCAGCCAAGCTTCCTTACTAATTTACCTGCACACAAGCCTACATACACAGACTTCTATTCTGTGAAACAATTTAAGGTGTAGAGATCATGAATGGTTTTGTTGCTTAATTATATACCTTTTTTGACTCTTCGACTTAGAAGTGCCTTCTGTGAAAATTTGGTCTTAACAGATGCTGCCAAAGTTAGGATGAGGACCAAAAGATAAATTGTGTCTGCACATACACCTTAGTATTTTAAATATAAATGAGAAAAAAGATATGTGCTCATTCATGATGCAGCTGATAGTCTGGATCAGATTCAACCCAGAGAATATTTTCATTTTGTCTTGCTAGCCTTTTACCCTGATGAGAAGAGAAAATGGGATTGAGACTCCTAGATAAGCTTTAATGTCTTTGCACTTGACCATAGCTGTACGGCAGTTTCCATGAAGGAAAGAGACAATCAAGAAGTTTATTCAAGGAACTGGTGTGTGCTGTTACTTGTTGTGAGAGCAGCAAATGTAGGGAACAGGCAGTGGTTATAAGTGTCCATGAATATGCTTGGGGTCCCCATATGGCAGTGACTGTTTATGACTCTGAGTGGATATATATGATGTCTGGGGTATTGTAGGTGAGTGTCCCTAACAAAGAGTGGAAAAGATAAGGAAATGTAAATATGTTGTAGCCATACTATTCAAAACAGTAATACAAAGTTTAAGTAACAAAGGGGCAAAGTAGCACTTGATCAATATAATTTTGAAGAGTTTCTAAAGATAATTTGGGAAGGAAGTGAAGAAGACAAATAGCTATGCTCTTTCTAAGAGAGTAAAAAAAAGCTCAAATTAGGTTTAGTTACTGTAAGGTGACATATTGGGAAGAGAACTGGGAGAAGTGCTACAAAATAAATAAGAAAGGAAGTCTAATAATGCGTGATACCGACATGATAGGGAACCGCAGTTGGCCCAAAGAAAGGTAGGCTGAAGATCTGATGTTTCTGTTACTGTAGAATATTTTAAGTACTGACAAAGATGAAGAGTTTTAAATTTTTCCTGCAGTGTAACCAGAATTGAACAGGAAGAAGGCTATAAGCTCTAGCTCCTATGGCTTCCTAAGGGTAATAAGTACAGTTTTAGCAAATCTTAATGGAAGCCCTGACTTTCAATGCACTTTGAGTTTTGTTTTGTTTAAGGGCTTTGAGCTCAGCAATTATTGTTGAGTGCTTGGACACGTGTACTTAACATGCCAGGACTGATCGCACTTACAGTAAATAGTGGTTGAGTAACTGAAGTGGGATGCAAGAGGTCACTGTTGCACTTTCTTCATTGTGTACTTTGATCCAAACCACTCTGGGTTCCAGGGAAGTGAAGAAGGATGACCCCAGGGGAAATTACTTGTTCAGAACAATGTTTACTTCTTCGAAACACCTTCATTCCTGAACCACATGCATCAACGTGTTCTCATCTGTAAGAAAAGTCAAACAAAAAGCCCACTTTCCTATATTTTCTCAATACTATACTATCCCCAACCCTGTATGTAAAATTAGTATTTTTTGCTCTGTTAGACTGCAGATTGTGGTAATTTGTGCTGTGCACTTTGCTTTCCTTTAGAAGAAAAAGTCACAGGTTCTCATAAAGGATAAAAATGCATTGCTTGGCAGAAGACCACAAATTAAGCAAGTTCCTCTGCAGGGGAGCTTGGCCCTTTCACTGTTGTTTGAGTGCTTTAGTGTTTAGGTGGAATATTGCACACTTTTTTTTTCTGATATGGTGAAATGCAAAATAGTCTGAAGGTTTCCTGGTTTTGTTCAGCTGGGTTTTTGCATGCTTTCCACACTTTGAAAATTTTAATGAAATGTGCAAATGGTGCTGCATTACTATCTGTAACTGAGGCACAGCAGATAGATGCTATACCTCATGTTGTGTTAGAACACTGAGCAGTAACATGGAGATAGTTTAATACTATTTAAAGGCCTATGTTTTTCTCCTTATGTGAGTAATACTTTTTAAAGGTTATATCTGAGTTGGCTTCTAGAATTTGTTTCAGTTTGTATCTTTTGTTATTTGACAATGTGGCAAGAGGGTAGTTTATTTCATTACACATAGGACAGATGTTTGCTCTGTACCAGTTAAGACTCATTTTCAGTAAGGTGAGGTGACAGTGTTAGTATTAGTAGCATATGGTGTAGCTGAATAGGCAGCTAAGAGAAAAGTGATTAAGTTGTATGTTTCTGGTGTTGTTACTTGGTAGCTGTCTTGTGAGATAGTAGAAGCAAACTATTTTCTGAAGTTTCACTGATAAATTTTTTAATTAATTTGAAAATTTTAACACATCTTTAAATTGATTGGATGTTGACTATTAAATTGTGATTATTTGCAGTTTTGTTTTGTAGCTTGGTGGTGTATCATGTAAGATTTTCCATTAAATATTTATTGGACATGGAAGCAGGTTTTTATTTGAAGTTCAGTTGTTTTAACAGTAAGCCTCAGGACAGTACTTGGGAAACCAGGTTGCACAGCTGCTGTTAATACTCCTGAGAATTTGTGGCTTATTCTTGAAGTTAACTATTTCACTTCTAAGAAGTGAAATTTTCTTGAGGTGCACTGTATAGAAAAGCTAATAACAGAAAGTGAAAAAGAATTTAGTCTGGTTTAAGAGAAAACATTTGTATCCATACTAGTTTACTGGAAGCTTGTTGAACTATGGAAGTGGTACTCCTGGGTTTTTATGTTTACAGGAGTTTTTTATGTTTAAAGGAGTGAATTCTTCAAACAGGTTTATAAGAAGTAATTATCTATAATGTCATAGTTGCTTAAGATAATTCTGATTTTTTCTTAAAAGTAAAGTACAAAATTGATCTATCTTTGTAGCACAGTTCTTGCTTTGTGAATTGTATCAGCTCTAAATTATTTTGGGCACTGAATCTCACTAGGCTTGCTGGATTATAGCAAATCATTAATTTCATAGGAGAAGAACAGAGAAGAAATAAGTTGATTTTTTAAAATGTAAATGAATTTGGCCTTTGTTGTATGAAAATTATAGCTCTGCCTCATTTCCCAGTAATGTAGTTGTTACTTCATCCACTTCCTCATATAACCAACTGTTTACTTACAACACCATTTTAGTGTATTTATCTGATGAATGCAAAGAAAAGACAATTTACCTGAAAATTGCACAGAACCAGTGAGAATGCACAGGATATTTTCCTTTTTGTCATCTGCTTGACACCTGAGAATGTGTTTGTGTAATTGTGACAGATTTAATCTCTTGCCTGTTGACTGCTCCTCCCTCCAGGAAGCAAATATTTATTTTTGTGAAGCAACAGTCATTTCAGCTAAAACCTAAACTCTGGGAAAGCTGCATTATAGAAAATTCAAGACAGGGGAGAGTTTTCCACATCTGTTGAGTACTTGTGGCAAATGCCTATTTTGCTTGTATCTTAAGTTGACTCTGCAATGAATTCTCCTTTTGTCTCTAGGACTTTTTAAGAGGTTAAAATTAGTAGATTGACCAATAGCAGTGTGTTTAATTTTTTTCATGTCTATTTTCATAAAATAGCTTTCATGAAGGAAATGAAATTTGATTAATTGTTCCTTATTACTTGACTCTATAGTCACTTATAATGGAAATTCTTACATAAATCACCATTTTCAAAATGTTTTTCTGCAGAATGTGCCTTTTCTTATTCCACTCTACAAACATTGTTTTTTTCTGTTAATACCTGTATCACTGCAACACTTGGACAAAGATGCTTGGTTTCAATTCTTAATTCTGCTCTGTATCCATTGCTCTCAGAAGAAGAGAAGGCTTTTTTTGAAGTCATTATGTTTTAAGAAGGCTATTTTGAAGTCATTATGGATTTTCAGAATAGGAGGGAAGGTAGTGAAACATGTATCAGTGTCACTGCTTGATCCCCTATAGGAGCTGAAGCTTTACTCAGTGCTTTTAGTTACATTCTTGATGAATTACATACAGTTCACAAAGATCATACCACCTAAAATGTATGTGGGGATCCAGTTGGATTTGTCTTCCTGGATTTTATTTCTGTGGTTGGTATTGTTTGTATAAATGATTGTATAAATACAAAACAAAATGCTGTTAAGTTGCAATGGCTTAACCGTCCATTAAATATCACAGGTAGAGGAGGATGATGATACCGAATCACGACATGAAGAAGAAAAGGAAGAAGTGAGATGTTATTCAAGAAGAAAGGTATTTTCTAACTGGAGCCGCTATGAGGATACAGAAAAAGAGGGACAGAGTGAAGCTGGGGAGTCACAAAGAGGATCAGACTTCAGTGTTTTGCTTAGCTCAGCAGGTAAGCATTTTCCAATCCGTAGGGTTTTTTTTGTTTTTCATTTTGAGAGATGGTTCCTTTTCTGGCTGTTGTCCTCGATGATGAAACTCCACCCTAGAATACCATTCCTATCTGCCTCAGGAAGTCTGCCATTTATGTATTTAAGAGTGTTGAAAGTCTCCATGGGTGCAGCCTCATAGCATACAGGCTGCACTGAGCTGTGACAGATGGGGAGTAAGAGAGGGATGCTGGCTAGTGCATTTATAGCCTTCTGGTGAAAAGATGGGTCCGAGTGTGTGTAGCATCCAGTAACATTGAGCTTATTCCTGCTGATCTTGGTGATTGGGTTGCTTTCCAGGAAACAAAAAAAGTTTGCTGGTATGACTAAGCATAACAAACCGTCATGCAGCTGCTTGCCCTTGTTTGTTTCAACATAAATTTGGGATCAGCACTGTAGAGATGTGTGCATGAATAGCAAGTGTTGCTCTTCTTGAAAATAACGGCCAGTTGTTGTCCTCTGTTCAGAGGAGATAATAAAGGAGGAGGTGGAGGGACATTCTATACTAGATCCTGGGGTTATTCAGCCATACATTTATAGTATAGGGTTGTTACACTAAAAACAGTTACCTAAAATTATTTTAGAAACTCTTGATGTGCCATTGTGTTGGAATACCATTCAGTAAAAAGCTGCAAACAACATATTATGGCAGTTTTTGTAGTACCTTGGAAATTCTGCAATCTCTCAAATCTAAATAATTGGATTTTTCAGTCACAGCTTGGTAGGGTAAGTTAGAAATTAGCTACACTAAATAAACAAAGAACAGAGATTTGTTTCTTTGTGCAAGAACCAATTTCTGAAGTTCTGTTTCACATGAACATTGTAAAGTTGGGCCTAAGCTGTCAGGTTTTAATCACAGAATCATGAAATGTGTATTAACTTCTCTGAATCTTGTGTTGCATAGCAAACAGTGCTGGAGTCAAGGCACATAATATGGATCTCAGAAATGTGTATCTAACAGAGTCTGAGGAGCAAAGTAGATAAAGTAATTCAAAACTTTTTAAATCAAGTGACCTGTCCTTAGCTGCCATGTCTCCATGGTTCAGCTTTTTAATAACGTTAGTAACTCAATAGTTAGCCTTCAGAATGTCTTTAAAATGTTCTGAAGAATAGTACTTTTGAGCTGAGGATATAACAAAATATGCTTTAGCTCTACTAATTTGTATTTTTCATGAGTTATACTTCAACACATTTATTAACGCCCCATTTATTTTACTCTTTAGATTCTCTTAATGCCTCAAATTATGATATTGAAAGGTAGTATTCATATATTCATCCTATTTCTTAATTCTAAATCTTTGATTTAGAGAGTGCTTTATTTTAGGATATATTGTTACTGTTCTCTAGAGTGAAATAAATCAATAAGAAACTGCAGTGGAATAAAGTACTTTCTTTAGGAGGAAGAAAAAAGTACCTTCTGAACAATAATGCAAATTTCTTGAGCGACATAAAGAAGCAGTTTTTGTCAGCAGTGTTCTTTCAAGCATCCAGTTCTAGTCTCCATCATGAGCCGGATTTCCATTTTCTCTCCACATTCTCTGTCAGTATCCCCAAAATTCTTCTCAAATTTCCCAGCAATATCAAGGGATAGACCCTTGTTTTCAACTGTGTTAGGGATATCACCATAGGTGAGGCTGCAAAATATGCAGGGTGACAATCTGTGGTCAGGGTTCTACCTAAAGCCTGTTAGACACAGACTTCTCCTACAGTGGAAAGTCTGACTCTCACTCAAAACTGAAAGTAGGGGGAAACTTAATTCAGTTGCCTTGCACATTGGGATGGCATGCAGAAGACCAGTGAGGAGGTAGTGTGGTGACTGGTTGTTAAGCTTCAGCAGATCTTGTAAAAATTAGGTACAAACTCAGATTTCTAGCAGCTTGTAGTGGCTAAGTCAGGTCATATTTTTCACAAAATGCGCAGAGCGTACCCGTTTCATGCGAAGTCATTGTGCAGTCTGACTTCAAGTTACTGATTCAGGGCAGGAAAGTGGTTACAGTTTCTCAAGTGTTTTCACACAAGAATGTTTGTCATTCTCTGGGTTCCTTTACACGGTGCTGATAAGGGGAGAGGATAAGGAAAAGCCAACTGAAGCAGACAATAGATCATGAAAATTTCATATTGAATAGTTAAAAAGGCAGCTGAAAATAGTCATAAGAACTGCCAGGTGTCTTTGGTAACAGTTGATGTCACTGGCCTGATGGAGCTTCTTTGTTAGGGCTTATCATATTTCTGTGTAAAATAGGTGACTGGGTTCAGCTTAAGTTTTTAAGTGTGTTTCTCTTTTTCAGCTTTTAAAAATGTATTTATTTTAAATTATCTTGAATATAGCAAACTTTTCTGTGTTGCTTTTGTCTAGCTGATATAAAATACAAGTCCCATTGTCAAGCCTTCAGGGAATGAGCCTTGAATCAATTTTGTAAAAATGCTGTTGAAGCATAAAGAGCAAAAGGAGTGGAAGTGATAGGATAACCTTACTTTGCGATGTTTGAAATGTTTGAAGAGCTGCCCTCATTATTTGACAGATGAGGGTTAAGTCACCAACAGTAAACTTAAGTTGTTCATCAGATTTTTGGCGGTGAATAGATTCTTTAAAAATATATTTTAAAAATACCATTATAGAGCTGATCAAAATGTATCCAGGCACTTGATTAATTTTCTTTACATGTGGTAGGCATTAGCAGTAAACCAGCCAAAAATTGCCAACATACATGCCTCAATAACAATACTTGGGTTGCAAGATGATGATTATCAAGATGAAAAAATATAATTTTGGACATGAATTTTTTCACCTTTAGTTTTTTAGACCATGGCTGAATAATTCTGGTGTATTAAAGATTAAGGTGAAAAAATGCTGTGCAGTTCAAATAAAACTGGGAGAATGGTTTTGATATTGTAATAATACATATAGTTTATAATAATAATACATATAATTTCTGTAGGTACCCAGCAGTTAGATACAATATAAAATTCAGAAGAAAAATCAAAAGAACAATCACTGGAGCATAATAGTAATGAACCATAGGTATAAGAATTTTGAGGTGATGGTTACATTCCCTTCCCTAAACACTTGCTCTGTTTTTTTAACCTCTTTCTTTTGGGTCTTTGTTTAATTTTGATATGTCTCTTGCAATACATTGCTGCATTTTTTTCATTTGCATGGTCAGTGCATGCTTGAGAATTCGAAGTACACAATAGGCCTTTGGCCATCTTGTAAAACCGAAACAGATAAACTTGTGAAGCAAGGCTTGCATTAAAAGTAGGTTTTCCTTTAATTCTTCTATTTCAAATAGAGAGTTTTCCAAGTGTTTTGAAAAAAGAAAAATTTGAGTGAAGAGTAAATAAGTTTTCTTTTTTTAATGGTAATTGTGCTTAAGCAAAAATAATGGCAATAGCAGGGAATAGTTCAAGTACTAAAAAAGAATCCTTTGAGTTTTAAAATTATAGAGAATAGCTGAAAATTTGGTTTCCTTACAGAAATCATTGGTGATTTGGATTACTGTATGTATCAGAGTCCCATTTTTCAGTGGTTCTTGCTTGACACCTCAGCTACTTCTTGGTCAGAAATTGGCCAAGTTCAACTCATGCAAAACTTCCATATTCTTATTGTTCCCCAAGGGACATGACCTCTGTGTGGAACATAGAAATATTGGTTACTTATTATCACTTATCATCAGCTTTAAGATACAGGTGCCTGGTTGCTGATCTTTTGCAATCACATATCGTGATTGCACTATTGCACTAAAGGTTGGTAACAGGTCAGGTAAATAGTGCTAGTTTGTGTGCTCCTGACATAAATAGGTAGGGCATGTACTTTACTTGCATCTTTCTTTATGGACTCTGTTTTTCACTACCTCATTCTCTAAACAGTCTCTGAGTTTCCATGACTTGCTCTCCTATCCTACTTTTCCTTCTAGCCCCGTTTCAGCACATCAGAACTTTCATTTCCTTTTTGATGGTCCTCTGGTAGATAACATTTCCCATCTGTGGAGGGTTCATATCCAAGTGGTATCATTTCCACTTGCACATGTTTTATTTGAGGCAGGGCAGTCTGCAACTTTGGACTTGTTATTAGACCTAAGAGATACTTCTTTTGGCTTATGTACCTGTAGGTAGCTGAAATTAACAAAAAAAATAGTCTCTTCTGTACTCCTTTTCTTCTCCCAAACAAACAGAAAAAAACCTTCCACAATAAAGATTTGCATTGAAATCACAGGACTTGGCATCAGTGAAAGCTGGTTCTCCATCTGCTCAGTGCTTCTTCCTAAACTGTTCCTAACATTACAGAAATTCATCTTTTTTTTTTTTTCCTAATCAGAAAAGCCAAGCTGTCTTTTTTTTTTTCTTTTGTCTGAACTAAAAATAAGACATGCCAGATTTTAAGTATTAATTATATTTTCTTGGTAAATGTGTTTTCCTGTAATAGGTAGTCTGTGTTCATTATATATACTTTCATATCTGTGCCTTTTTCCCTCCTAAGTTTTATGTGAAATATAACCAAAACTATGATTGAAGTGTGGAAGTGTAATGTGACTCCATGATTTGAATATAAATGTAGGATAAGATGTCTTCATTTTAACATTCTGATATCTTAGAACTATGTGGCTTTACATATCAGTGGTAGTACTGTATAATTACTGGTAAGTAATTATGGTACTGGTTTCAGTATTTCAGAGAAATGTGTATACTTTATGATTTAGAATTGAATAGAGCAAGATTCACAGATTAAAAGGGTTAAATTTTGTCCCATTAAAATCAGTGTGGTAAGCTTTTCCCCATTCTTTTAATTTTTCACAGCTTGAGTGCAGTCATTTATTTGTGAAGTTCCAGATTTATGGATTTAAAAGGTTTTCTGACCAATATCGTTCTCTAACACTGGGTCCTTAATCTTTTGCTGCTACTTTATATTGATGGTAATTCTACTGAATTGCGTTGTTTTGGTTATGAGATCACAAATTAATTTGTT